GAACAAAATGATCATCCTAGTTTCCAATGGTTATTCAACTAAATTCAAACAGTGAAATAAAAAGCTAGAAATTCACACATCAGCGAATTTTTTTTATATTCACGCCCTTATAAACAACATGCTAACATGTATTATTACTAACAACATTTCTACTAAAGGTTGGTCTACCGTGTAAATCTGGTGTCTCTGGTATAATTATGGTAGTTGTACCTAATTTACTTGGTTTAGCTGTATGGTCACCACCAATCGATCGACATGGGAATTCAGCTAGAGGTATACAATTCTGTCAAGTAAGTATACTTTTTCTTACACTTATTCAATAATTATTCAATGTTTCATATACACATTTGAAATCATCAGTCAATGATTGGTAGACCACCATTAAAAACCTGGAAGCAATGAAACCCGGCAGTTTTGTCCCGGTGCGTGACTCATCAGCAGTGAGCATCCAAGAACCCAGGACCTTCCATCTTGCGCGAGGACGCCTAACCTCTGGACCACTAGGTCGGCATCCAACGGTTTTAGTGTCTAACTATGATCAATCTTGAGATATTTGCGCCAGCCCACCCATTTGTCTTTGGTAGTTACTGCCAGAAGTTACTGGTCCAGAGGTTTGGCGTCCGCGCACAAGACCGAAGGTCCTGGGTTCTTAATCCTGTTGCAGGTTTCGTGAGTGCGTACTGCTAATGAGTCCCATACCAGGACGAAACGACCGTCCAGCGTTTCCAGGTTTCTAATAGTGATCTAACAATGATTGATTGATGATTTCAATGTGTATAAACACTAGTCTTCATAACTCTGATTGAAAAAAATGTTTCATTTCATGAAAACAGTTTATTTTATTATCATTTTTTTTCAAACGAATATTTTTGATTATCTGAGATGTATTTATTCATAAGGATTATCATTTGAGTAATTAACCTTATTATGAATTAAGCTGTATTTTACCAAATAGTTTATGATTGAAAAGGCTAAAAATTATTTTCTGAAGTTTTTTATTTTTACAAGTTACCTTTGAGAGAGATTTAAAATGTAGGAGAACGCTTCGTTAGTTAAATAATTCAGTATAAATATATTAGTTCACATTTACTTACTTACTTACGCCTGCTATCCCTAGAATCGCATAGGCCACCGACCAGGATTATTTAACCTACCCTGTCCTGGGATACCCAATGCAGTTTTACTCAGTTGCACTTCATTCTTTTGATGTCTGCTTCGAATTGTTGACGTAATGTGTTCTTTGATCTTTCGCCTCCACTTCTGTCTTTACTACTCCGAATTGGGGCTTATTTTGTAACATAGTTGAGTGATTCCCCCAAAATGTGTCTCATCCACCTGCGACGATTATTCGTGGTTTCTTTCTCAACTGGAATCTGGTTTGTTATCTCCCACGCCAACCAGAACAAATAGTTCACATACTCGCATCATGCTAAATGTGTAGGTTGATTGTTGAGGCTTGCTATTATATTTGATTACATCATAAAGTATGATTAAGGAGAGGATTATAGAACTTGATTACTACGCTTATCATACAAAGTATAGTATAAAATGATAGGGAGTAGAGCAGTTTAGGGTGTTGACTGCTTCACTTATCTCAGGAGTCTCATCAGTGCTGATGGCCTAATGACTGATGGATTCTCAGCACGGATACAGAAGGCTCGATTGGCTTTCACCAACTTGCGTCACCCATGGTGAAGGCTAGATATCCGTCTACTAGCGAAAGGATGACTCTACTGCGTGGCAGTTCGCTCCGGCCTACTTCATGACTGTGAAACATGGCCAGTCAGAGTAGAAAATATTCGTAGGTTGCTCGTTTTCGATCATACGTGTCTTCGAAGCATTGCTCGTGTATCCTGCGACAACCGAGTAAGCAATGCTGTGGTTAGGACACTGTTACTAGGTAAGGGTGGAAGGTCAATAGATGAAGTATTGAAACTTGATCAGTTGAGATGGTTGGGACATGTGTTGCGTATGCCTAACCACTGACTGCCTCGCCGAGCTAGATTTTACGGTGTAGGAATATGTTGGAAGAAAAGCATGGGAGGCCAAACCAAAACATAGCAGGAATCCACAAATTCAGTGAAAACTGGACTGAATCATGTTGGTAGCTGCGGACTACCTGGTTGTTGCACGCGAGATGATAGTAATCGATGGTTAGAGACCCTGAATGACATGGCTCAAAACCGTCTGAAGCGGCACAGATGCATCTATTCTGTGTGTTTACGCAAAGCCTAACCTTCTGAATTCCTCATCACTTTGTCGTTTTCTTTTAAGTTTATCTCACTGAAATTTTACTTCTTGAATAATTCATTCGAACCCTGATCTTCTCCATTACCGCTAATACTTCTACTACCTCTAGTACAATGGAATTTGAATTGACAATTGCATCTCTGTGCTAATGTGTTATGTCAACTTGCACTGATGTACGTACGTTCAAAGTTCTATGTTGTTCTTGTCTGTATAGTATATTGAGACCTTCATTCTCTTTTTGACATCACATACAAAAGAGAGTCTAACGATCAGTGAGCTCTTTGTTCGTGAACCTATGTTACATTATAGAATATTTAAAGATCCATAATATGAGACGAGAATCATGAACAGATATATTTTGGTAGATACTGTTTTCATTGTCATGACTATTGTTTAATATTTAGCGTTTAGTCAGTTCGATTTAAAACAGCCTAGGTTAACATATACTTCGAGTGGTTTAGTGAACGTCAACTCTGAAATGCAGTCACATCCAGTTGAGAAGCTCGAGATAGGATTCGAAACGTGCGTTCCGGATTCAACTGTCAGCTACATTCTTCCTATTCTACTACGTTTCAACGATGTTTTCTTAGGTGCTGCTTTTTTCCAACGTGAACTGAAGAAACTTATGAAACTGTTATGCGAACAGTAACCACTCAATAACATGATTTTTAAGTTCTCATTATTTTGTAAACTCCATGATTATACATGAGATAGAGACTCGAACATTAGATGAAGTCTGTAATCTTAGTGGTTATCATCATCTTCAATATAAGTAGTTAGTTTGATGATGAGTATAAAGCGTATATATTCAAGTCGATGAGATTATTTTCAACTACCTTAAGTCATTAAAGATTCTAGAAATGATGACATCTTTAAATACAGCGAAACATTATGCATTATCGCATATGGCAATTATTTACAAGTGGTGATTGTTAGAATTCAAGATATTTTTTACTTCCTTAACATGATTCAATTATGTCTTGTTTGAAATTGTATCGATTAATTGATTTTCAGAAATCTTTTTTGAATGAATTCATTGTTATTATCGATTGACTTACTATTAAAGATAAGATTTGAACAGTTGACGCAAATAATTTAAACTTAATCCCATTGCACCAACCAGTGGTTATCTGGATTCCCAAACTAAGTGGACAGCGTGAATGGTACACTGAGTTTGAGTCTTGGATTGAATATCGACTATGAGATGCGGGTACATTCAGCTACAGACCAGTCTCACTATTAGCCAACATCCATTGGTAGTTGTAGTGCTTATGACACTAATCGCTGTATCGAGGCAGTTGTTACAGTATGTAGATATACTAACATAGAATGATTAATTATAGTCTAAATTATCAATGGGAAGATTGAAACAACCACTAAAATTACATTTTACGATTTGTTTATATTGTTAAATCTCCAGTTAGAGTTAATCAGTATTGTGAGTTATATAAAATGCATTAAGCGGTCGTGAAGATTGTTAAGTTACACATTTTTGAAACGACGAATCGATTAATGTTAGACCATCACCATTAGAAACTTGGAAGTACTGGACGGCCGTTTCGTCTTGGCATGGGACTCATCAGTGACAGTGCGCATCCACGACTCCTGCATCTCGGATGATCCAAGCGAACGCTTAACTTCTGGACCACTGAGCCGGTATCTAACGGTGTTAATGTTTAACTTGATCAATTCACGGGTGTAGACAGTAACTACGGAAGATTGTGTATGAGGTTGCGCAGTAGAGCATAGACCATCAACCACCATTCTCCATACCTACTCTGTCCTCGGACATCCTTTATAATTCTGATCAATTGTTATTTATTCTTCGTATGTCTGTCAACATTTCTGGGCGCAATGTGTTCTTTGACCTTCCTCTTTTCTTTTGATTTTGAGGCTTCCAAGGGAGGGCTTGTCTTGTGACGCAGTTAGGTGATTTCTCCTATTTATGTCCTATCCACTTCCAGCGCTTTTTTCTGGTTTCTTCCTCCGCTGGAATCCGGCAAAGTGAAGAACAACGAATCAATATTAAAACTGGTTCAAAATGAAACTTGAAATAGCACAATTATTATCTGTTTTTCATTTTTAACCAATAAATTATAAACCGAACGAACTAGCATCTTACAAATTCATATTTAAACTTGCAGAAAATATTTACTAGTTAAGTAATTATTTTATATATCTTTGTCTACTTAGAAGTGGAACATTTGAACTGAATCAAATAACGAATTATAATATCAGTTTTTCCGAAGGCTTTGAATTCATTCAGAACAAAGTGGGACATTGAAAGGTTATGTATGAAATGCGGAATTTAAAATTGACGATCTGTGTTTTTCTGTATATGACTCAAATTTAAGTTGTTAGTTCCAGTACAACACAATGCTCACATTGTATAAAAATTTCAAAAATATTATAAATGTTGATGTTATCCCGTTAGAACTCATAGTTCTAGGTTCAAGCTCATATGAAGTCGTGGCTGTGCACTGTTGAGATCCATATTCGTATGATACAAATTTTTACTGGACCTTATTGTTTAAGGGTTGCCTATGATGTTAAACTGCAGGTTGAATAATCACTAGTTCATCTAATTTGTTAGAGGTAGAACCTCAGTGTTGATTGTGAAATGCTTCAGAATGTTTACCTGATAGTCTAACTTTTTTTGATCAAATATATGGGTGAGGTAGCACAAAATCCTTAGATCAATCAGAGTTAGACATTAACACCGATGGATGCCGGCCCAGTGGTCCTAAGGTTAGGCGTTCACGCACTATACCGAAGGTTCTGGGTTCGAATCCTGCAAGGTGCAGGAGTCGTGGATGCGCACTGTTGATGAGTCCCATACCAAGACGAAACGGCCGTCTGGTGCTTCCAGGTTTCTAATGGTGGTCTAACAACAATGATTGATTGATGATTACAAATGTGTAAAAATCAAATATATTTCAATCATTATACATTTCGTGAATTCAAACTGTATTCACATTTTCAAGTTAATTGTTGGTAGATTTCTCTATTGAAATTTATTTTCCGCTCCCAAAATTACCAGTTATCATGAGGTTATAAGTAGTAGGGTAACAAAAAGGCCTTAGGCTTAGGTTTTATGACAGGTAGCCTTTATTATCTTGAAAGATAGAGCTTTGTGTAAATGTGACATTATTATTATTATATTTGGCTGGCATTCATCTCTATCAATGTATCAATGTTGAGGAATGAAACAAATTAGTGAAAATTATGTTCACAAATTATTATTTACAGAAATTACATTTAATTGTTTAATATAAAAACACTTTGGAGATGCTTCTTATTAATTTCAATAAAAATAAGGCTCTTTCTGTTTATCATCATTTTTAAAACTTAAACTGCCCTTCAAATAACATGGTGCGACCAAGAATTAGAGGCAGTCCGTCCTTCGTATCGATATACTCTTACATTGACATGCATGTTTAGCCACTAAAAGTTTAACTCACTGCCTTATCATGGCGAAGGTATTATTCATAAAGTTGAGAGAAGGAAATGCAAATATTTGACTTCCAACTCGGGTTTTTTGGTATGAAAAATGTACCTAGCGGAATTGGAAAACCTTTATTTCAAACCAGTGGTGCACATCGGCTCCTGGACCTTGAGGAAACCAGTGATATATGAGCCTGTTCTCGGTGACCGGCCTCCATGAGACTGCGTCTCATTATATCGCCTCACTGCTTATGTGAATTAAACCTGAAAGTTAAAGTTTTGGAGAGTGGCCTCCTAAGCAAACCACCCGATTCGGTTAGAGCGCTTGGGGCACAGTATCTCAGCCCCTACAAATATAATAGTTCTTCTGTTGCATCAATCTTTAAGTACCTCTATCCACTAATTATTGTGTTCAAATAATAATAATAATAATAATAATAATAATAATAATGTCACAGATTCCAACGAAGGTCCGCATATACTTCAGTTTAATTAAACGGATAGTATCTCTACTTACTTAATTACTTGCGCTTGTTACCCCACAAATGGAGCATACACCGCCGATCAGTATTCTCCAACCTACTTTATCCTGAGCTTCCCTTTCCAGTTTCGTCCAATTTTCGCTCACTCTTCTCATTTCTGTCTCCATTTCTCGGCGTAATGTGATTTTTGTCCTTCCTCTTTTCATTTGACCCTGAAAGTTCCAAGTATGGGCTTGTCTTCTAGCACAGTTGGGTGCACCCCGCAATCTGTGTCCTATCCAATTCGATCACTTCTTCCTAGTTTCCTCCTCAGCTAAGATCTGGTTTGTTCACTCCCACAGTAGGTTGTTGCTGATAGTGTCTAACCAACGGATCCGAAGTATTTTGCGTAGACAATTGTTAATAAATTTTATGTTTTGTACTTGATGTAACGTCAACCACCGTACTAATGACACCCGAACGTTAGACCCCTCCGTTCAAAGAAAGAAGACGGAAGACGTTGGAGAACACTTCTTGTCAGAATCAAAAATATACAATCAAACATGCGTATTTATACAATTATATAAAAGTCGTTAATTATTTGAACATGCTTCAAATAGTTCGTCAGGAACGATAATCATATAGTTCATCATAAATGAAATAGTTTATCATGAACATGAATCATATAATTCATCATAAATGAAATAGTTTATCATGAACATGAATCATATAATTCATCATTAATGAAATAGTTTATCATGAACATTAATCATATAGTTCATCATTAATGAAATGGTTTATTATGAACAAAAATCAAATAGTTCATTAAATCCACAATATGCGTGGCTTTATTCTCGATTGACTATCCCAACAATAAATACTTGTATTTTGTAGATGATGGCTTTGGTAGTTCTCCAGGTTTCCGCCCCGTACATTAGAATTTTCTCGACATTTGTATTGAAAATTCTGATTTTGGTATTAGTTGATATTTGTTTGAAGTTCCAGATGTTGTTCAGTTGTAGAAATGCAGCCCTTGCTTTCCCACTACGCACCTTCACATCTGCATCGGATCTACCTTGATTGTCAATGATGCTGCCCATCTCCAAGAGTGATTTGGTTGGAGCATGTAGTGTTGTTTGTATGTTGAGTATCACTAACTGGTATCAAATTATGGCTCAGATCCGACTACATGAATGAATACCTTGTTTACAAGCTTGGTTATTCTGTTATTAATTAAGAAAGAGGACGAAACATTCCTATCTCTGAGTTCCATCATGATTTGTTTTGTAATTGCAGCTATTTTCATGAATTCTGTTCTCAGTAGTTTATGATCAACTTACGTATATATGTAAGTTATTGGATTGCACGTACAGTGAATGCATGAAATAAGAATGTTATGGACTTAGTCTCATATCAGGTACGAGTAAGCTGTGTTGATTCTGTTGTTCCGTAAAATACTATGGAATCATTATCTGAAGCAATATTGTCTATTGCATACAAGTAACTGATTGTCCTTCATTTACATATTGTCGTTTTGAAACTTTCTTAAAAACTTCTATTTTTCTTGCATATTATTATTAGGAACTTGTTCAGCGATTTATTCTACATCATTATGAAAGTCATTTACATTATGATAAAAAAATCGATCCACGGAAATCACGTGACTCCTATCGAACCGATGCAGTGACAACATTGTTATTTGCTGCCGGGAATAATGATTTGTCAACGCTTCGAAGGTAAAATTCTGTTTATATATTTTTTGATTCTGTAGTTTTGTTTGTAATTCATAAAAATTTGTTGTTAAATTTTCTGGGAAACGATTGTGTATATGATTATTCATTCTAGTGATGGATTAAACAACAAGATTGCGCATAGGTGTCGGCACATGGGTTCGTTCCAAGTGAAGACCGGTTTCAGGTGGTAATCGGCCGTACTCTGCAGACGTCAACACCTGGAAGGGAAGCACGAAATACAGTGGATAGCTTGGATACAGCAGGTCGATTTGGTCATCGCAGATGATCTAGCCCTTCTATCTCGCATACAACAGCAAGTGCAAGCGAAGACGGCCAGTGTAGTATCAACCTCTGTAATAGTAGGCCTCAACATACATGAAGGACAAAGCAAAATCCCCCAATACAACACAACATGTACCAACCAAATCACACTTAAAAGAGAAGCTCGGGAAGATGTGGAAACTTTTATATACATGATAAGCAGCATTGATATACGAAGGGATCTGATGCAGATGTGCAGACAAGGATCGGCAATGTACGGGCAGCGTCTCTACAATTCGAGAACGTTTAGAACTAAAAACGGCTATCGACTGATCCCAAAGTCCTAATTTTTAATACAAACATCAAAGCCATTCTATTGTATGGAGCTGAAAATGGGAGAACCACAAAAGCCATCATCGGGAAGATACATAATTTTATTAATATTTGTTTACGTAAAATATTGGTTGGCCAGAAATCATCAGCTTCATCCTACTATGGAGAGGAACAAACCATATTGAAGATGAGGAAGAAATCAGGAAAAAGTGCTGGATCTGTGGAAAAGGCACTAACAGCAGAAAGCACCCATCTGCGCCACAAGACAAACCCTAATTTGGAACCCCCAATGTCGAAGGTAAAGAGAAGGACCAAAGGACTAGCTACAGTGAGATTTAGAAGCAGACATGAAGAGAATGACCAATAATTGGATAGAACTGGAAAGGAAGGCCGAGGACAGAGTAGGTTAGAGGATGCCGGTCAATGGCCTATGCTCCATTGGGGGTACACGGCTTAATCAAGTAAGTATGCGCTTCAAAAGTTCACAAATATGATTCATGCAAAAGGAACTTTTCGAATTTTTTTCAACTTATTTTATATAGTACAGTGGATGAAATCTTTGAACTAGCCATCCTCAGTTATTGATTATTTGTATATTATTAGTTCAGAAACGATTGTGTTGTTACATAGATTCAGTTATTTATTGTTTATTGTCTTACAAACAATGAATTGTTTGTTAATCATGATTCATTCTTGGTCAGTAAGGCAGTTAATCGATCGTTAACTACGTACATGTCATAAATGTGTTGCAAGCCAAGTTGCTACCAATATACTACACTAGTGATGTAAATGTAGATACATCATACTATCCCGGCGTTTAGCTTTCATTTGTTATTCGATCATAACCGCCTAGATAATTCAGATTATGCTGGCTTTGATCATAGTGTCTTTTTGGTCGTTATAAAATAGGCTCAAGAGGCAAACATTTGAATTTTTCCGTCTCCTATATTTTAAATAGGAAGTAAGATTGCAAGTACAGTGAAATCAAACATGAGGCATGATTTATAATTTGTCCTACAATAGTCTCAGTAAAGGTATCATTGAAAACTAAGGGGTACTGGATAGCTGTTTTGTCGCAGTACAGGTCGCTTAAGCAGTGAGCGTCTATGACTCTCTGACAGAGATTGAACTTATGGCCTTCCAGTCTGGCTTAGAACGGTAAGTCGTTAAATCACTTAGTCGGCATCTAGTTATTACTTACTTACGCCTGTCATCACCCACTGGTGAATAGACCGTCAGCCGGTATTATACTACTTACTCTATCGTTGACCTTCTTTTCCAGTCCTATTCAATCGCTGTTTATTCTTTTCAAGTCTGCTTTCGGTTGATGGCGTAGCGTGTTCTTTGGTCTCTCTAGTTACCTTTGGCTTTGATAATTCCAAGCAAGGGCTTGTCTTGGGATGGAGTTGAGTGCTTTCCTCAATGAGTACCCTGTCCACCCTTAGCGACTCCTACTGACTTCTTCCTCATCGCCAACCTGATTTGTTCTCTCTCATAGTGGGTCATCGCTGATAGTGTGTGGTCAACGGATCCATAGTATCTTGTGTAAATAACTTTTAATGAACATATGTCTTCCTGGTGATGCTCCTCATGGTTCTCCAGCTTTGCGCTCCATACAATAGAAACGGTTTTGACGTTTGTTTTGAACATTGTGACATTGGTGTTGGTTTGAGAGTTGTTTTGAGTTCCAGATGTTCTTCATTTTGGAGAATCCTCCCCTTGATCTGCCAATCTATGCCTTCATATCTGCATCAGATCCGCCTTGCTGATCAATTAGGCTGTCCAGATATGTAAAGGCTTTTACATCCTTCAAAGCTTCTCCATCATATGTGATTTGGTTGGCATCCAGTTGGGCACTGATTTTAATCAGTTTGTGACACAACTCAACAATCATCCACTAAAATTGGTGATAACCGTTTTACCCCTTACATATTATCAACTTCAGTGTTCAGGGTTTCCATTAGAACTTCAATCAAATCAAGGCCATTATATTTTGTATCATCCTACCACTTTCTTTATGGAGGAAGCTAAGTACATTTTGACACTCTGGTGTATTTGATAATTCTTCTCCTCTTTTTCTGACATATAACAACTTATCAAATTATTCTGTGTTTTATGATTTTGTTAAAGACTTATAAAGGGGAGTGTTATACCTAATTTATATCATCACGTCATGAAAATTTAAGTTTAATACAAGGCATCTTAATACGGGGTTATCATTTTACATCGTGTTTACCTGATTGGTGCATAACTTGATAGATACAAATCGTTAAAAAATAGATAACTTTCTTTATTTTATTGAATTACGAATGTAATATTTTTTTTGAACTATCAAACTGCGTAAAATGTTTCCATTGATGTGTACTAGTCAAGTAAAATAGACCAGTTTATTTTTGTACAATATCTCTCTAAAAACTATGTTACATAGTTCTGGAAAAATGACATATCTTTTACAGGAAAACTAACTGTCAATTTAGGTACCAAGCTTACGATTTCATAAAATATACTGTAGCACTGTTTTATCGAGGTGTGTAATGAAGCTTCATCTGCTTTCTCTTAAAAAAAATTCCCTTTGGAATATACTGCAAAGAAAGTGAGCTGCTCGATCGAACAATAGCTTGTTTTGTTAACCTAAACCTTGATCATTCACAGGTTGCGTATTTGTTTTAACTATTCATCATATCTTCTCTATTTATTTGACCTTGAACGTTCCAGCTACTTATCTTAATTCTTATTGGTTGATAATTTAGATTGATGATTTCCACATTGTGTATATGTTGATTGACATGTAACCAGATTTCTTCATTCTTATTATTTATTCTATGAAAAAATATTAAAAAAATTAGAGCATTTCTTAGGAAACAGTGTAAATAAGTGATTGATTAAGTTTCATATGAAAAAATTGCCATCCCTGACTGTGTACAACATTTAAAATGAACAAAGTTTGGTGAGAGGAAAAAATGTGAGCTTACAACCGTTCCTCATTTATAGTGACATTTTAGTGTCCTGTGATCTGACTCCAATGTGTACGAATGATTGAGTATGCAACGAAATGAATCCTTCTATTGATTTCTGTATATCGATATTTAAGCGAATCCCGTTTGTGCGAAATGCGGATTCAGTTGGATGACTTTATTTCATGTAATCGTTTATACAGACAGACATCAGAACACGAAGCGTAAAGGCAAAGCGAAGTGAGTGAGCTTGCTCCATATCATGAGGAATGACCAAGTATCAATAATCAATGAAAAAATAGGCTAGACATGTAATAAGTGAAATTAGCATGTACATCACTTGAACAAAATCAAGATATAAACGAATTATTGAGAAGGGCGAAAGATGCATGAATAATTCAGGAAGAATGTATCAGGCTGAGGCCAGCCAAGTGGGCTCAACATGTTGTTAGTTAGTAGACACTACTACCCTTATAAGTTAAATGCATGGTATGCAGAAAAGGTTAAATGACTGAAGATTTGAGTAAACGATGATGAATTAATTATCTTAATTTAAGGAAGAATTTCAGTCGTGAATGATTGACTACTGATATTCAATATTTTTGTCGATAGGCAGCGCTACTACTTATCGGCAGTTTTTTTAAACAAGTACAAGTTCACAAGTACAATTCCTTAAAAACGATGTGATTACAGTGGTTCATAGTCAACTAAACTAATAACAGTATTCATTCAGTCAGTTGGAAATGTACTAAATGTACGTTTGATTGGTTGACTGATTGATTGGTTGATATGTTTCTATTGATTTGTAAAAGTTTTAAATAAGTAAAATCTAAAATAAAAATCTGTTGGCTTTCACTATTTACAAACTGACATCCACTAGAAATTAAGTGAAAAGAAAATGAACATTGAACAGTCTTATTCCTAACTCGTTGAAAACTCTTTATTGGTGTTAACTCATGACCAATATATGATTTAATGCTGGTCTGCATTTAAGCCCAGCTGTTAACTATTTCATGTATTTGTGATATGCTTTGATGTGGCCTCCACCTAGCTTTCTTCCAACCTACTCCCACATTGAAGTATCTGAGGATACGTAACAGATGTCACAAACATCTCACCTGATGAAGGTTCTTTTCACCGGCCATCCTTCCGTAGTACCGTATTCTTAACATACGAATTGCTTAATCGATGGTCGCAGGGTATACGAGAGATGCTTCGAAGACATCGATGTTCGAGTTCTATTAGCCTATGATTACCCTTATTATTCTTAGTGGCCATATTTCACACCTGTAAAGTAGAATGAAGTGAACTACTGCACGGTAGATTCATTGTCTGATTAGTAGATAAATATCTCGCCTATGCTAAAAAGTGATGTGCAATTTGGTAAAAGCTAGTTGAGCCTTGTGTTTCTGTGTCGAGATTTCGTTACACATCACACCGTCAGGACTGGTCAAA